TTTCTTGAAGAATCGAATCCACTTTTTGCTCCGTCATTTCGCCTCCATCTTAAAGGTATCCCCAATTCTACTTTTGAAACCTTAAATAGGATAGTTAACCTTATCAAAAATTATCTCCTTCATATATCAGAGCTTGCCACATCAATTTGATCTGGCCAACGTGACCAGCCCACAGGCCGTGTAAATAACCCCTGTGGTGCTTCGAAAGCAGTGTGAATTCAGAGCTAACATAGTCGAATTTACCTTAGCAGCCTGACTCGTAGGCCCAGGATTTTTCAGTTGATAATTTAAATCCTGGATTTGTCTGTAAAAAATAAAAAATAATTTTGTTTTAAATTTTTTTGAAATTTTGGGTGGATTAATATGCTTGCTACTGTGAAACCTTCGAAATGTAGGACTATAGAGAGTGAAAAAAGAAAGGTCACCATAGTCTAATTTGGTTATGTAATATCAGATAGTTGGGCCGTCCATAATGAACTTAAGCTAAGGATGCTCTAGTTTAAGTTTTTTAACGGCAGACTACATCCCTAAAAAGATTCGGGACCGAGTGTTGAGAATCAAATGTCCATAGACCACAGGGCATAGGTCGAAATAGGCTTTTAATGACTGGATAGAGAAGAAACTATATGAAATGGCAACCCTTCTGGAAATAAGGACTGAGTGAAACTTAATGGCATCTTGGGGTCCGTTGTGGGAAAAATTCAATTATCAATCCTCCTCCATTCTTTGTGATATTCGGAGAATACAGATGTTTTTAAAGATCTGGTGGCATTTTTTAAACATACTTAATCTGAATAAGAAGTTACTTTACTGATAACCCAAAGCCACATCCTCTGTTAATGGAGCCAAATCGAACCATCAAGCCCTGGTCCACCGAAAAGAACAAGACTGACTTTCGTTAAACCTTAGAGTTATTGGTGGCTTTGAACTACACAGAAGCACTCAACAGCTGCCTAGAGCGTGCCATAAGTCTCAATTACTGCCTTCACATAAAGTTATTTTATTTTATTGGGACTTTCATTGAACTTGACATAGTTGGCTTCACTATTTAACTGAACTATTTCGCAAATTTCTCCAGTCACTTATAAGTCAATGGAACTTTCATTTTGTATGGAAATTTGTCTCGGAGAGATTCGCGGACGATTCCCTTCCATACGGACCCGATGCATCGAGGTCGGATAAGGCTGCTCCGGGGACCCTAAAAACTTCCCAGCGATCTTGCTACAGTTTCCAATAAGGCCACTTTGTGCACATCTTCGAGGAAACTTTGCTAAGAAATGCAGAGTTGAATGACATGCATCCTTTCGTTCAACTTGCAGCTACTTCTCTAAAAGTTTACGGGTGGGTAGGATCATCGTATAGGACAAGGATAATGCGGTTAGGATGAGATTTCTTCCCCTGAATAGCTTAGCAAAACTGCCTTAAATTCAAAATGTATGATTTAAAGCTACTTCCTCTACCTCGTTGAGTGGTCCCCAGAATATAGCTTTCAGGATCTTATGAGGGGGGGTGTCTGATGTAAACGTCCCAAATTTTAGGGAATGGAGATGCAACTTCTTTTGGGACAAAATCCTATTTTTATAATCACATATTCGCTCAAACCCAAAGCGAGTCACTTCTTTCCTGAAAATCAGATCGGAGAGTAATTATGCCCTACTCTCCTTCAGTTTAGCTTCTCAATGCTCAGGCGTCTATTCGGATCACAGTTTTAGGCCTTAATAACTGCTGAAGTCTTCTAATCATTGTTGACTAATTGTAGATGTTAAACCATCACTGGCAGCTAAAAGCAGATTTCCCGTTTTGATGCTGTATGCCAGCCTAGTCTTTAGTTGTTCTCGCTCTTTTTCACCAGCTTTTTAAGTTTAAAGTTTATTGCAAAAATTATTGCCTCTCCTTATACACCTTTTTCCCTTATATGTATTAAGAGTACAGTCCCTGACCCACATATTACGCCTCAGCATTACTACAAAAAGTGTAATTATTTGAAAAAGGGCAGTCATTAAAATGTTTAGTAAAGAGGGAAATTTGAGTATGGTCATGGCCCAACAGATATCCCGTTCGGTACTGATCTACTAGTGCTGCACATCACAAAAGATCCTGCTGTCGAGTTCTACCTAAATTCTGTCAAGCTCGAATTTTCCGGAGACACTTAAATCAAACATTTTTGTCCCTTATTACTTACAATGTGCATATTTCCAGTTGAGTTTTAGTCTTCCGCCGGCTTTCCTGCAGCAAGGTTAGACGGTTTTGCAAGTACAAAATCTTTTGCTTTAGGTGACAGATGGACTCTTGTGTTTTATCCTCTTGACTTTTAACGGATTCCTGTTGAACACAGGCGCGGCCAGTCTCTCGTCCACTACCAGTTTGATGTAAAAGGCGTCTTGTGCCTTCATGGCTCCTGACCACCAACTGGCCCTGGGCACCTGAGGCGCCTTGAACATTAGTTGGCCTTGTGTGGCGCGGTAGCTGAACTTCTGGGCGTCTGTGTGGATCAACTGATTTGCGTGAGTGACATAATCTACCCTTTTGCAATGGAGAAACATTAAAACTGACGCGGGCGCTGCCTCGATTTTCTTTAGAGCTATCAGGTTTGGGGTTGCGTTTGTTGACAAGTTGTGGCTGAACGGATGGTGCTGCGTAGACACTTGGTGAGCCAGCCAAGCCGCTTCGAGAGGGCAATCCAGACTTCTCCACAGTTGAGTTGAAAGTATAGTACAGACAGAAATAAACAGAATGCAATTCTCAGGGAAGATAAATTGAGTAATTACTCAGTGCCCCGACCATTCTGCTTCTAATCTCATAAAAAAATATTATTCACTTTATGCGATTGAGTTGAATTGGTTTTCGCAACTCAGTGATACTTACAGAGAGACTTGAAATATAAGTCTGCGTTGTCCTGACTTCTTGCGTTGGACTTTTGTAAAACTAAATATCGGAAGCTGAAAGAATACGATTAGCTGTCCCTAAATATCAGTCACTTAGTCGGTTGTAAGAATGCAACTTACCCTTATTGAAATAAAGTGAATAGGCCCCACTAATCTAATGAATTTCACTACTAATCGCATTCAAAAAATTTTTATCCTTTGGGATCGATTACAGTCTCGACCTTGTCCGGGTCATATCAGTACCCGTAACAGGTTTCTAAACCAGGTTTTCATTCCGCCAATTAGCCAACTAGACTTTATAGACAAGTCATGTATCCCCCAACCTAAATTTATTTTGATAATTTTGATTACTTTGGCTTATTTTAGTCTTGACATCGAATGAAGTTACATATATACATAGTTACCAAATTTTGGAACTATTATTATATCTTCAATATAACTATAATCAGGATTAATGATAAAATTTGACCGTTCTCAAATGGTTTAAAGTGGTGCAAGCTATTGTGATGGCAAATACAAGCAGAAAATCCCACTGTTATTGTGAATTTGGAGGATTCTGGCAGGCCGTGGAAGTCACAGCTGCTTTTTGACACATTGGCACTCTTTGGCCGCTTTGCCGAGTGATTACTCGACCCATATGCCTGGGTTTTTCAACCTGATGGGGCTGCTGATCAGAGTGAAAAGGACGGTAAACCTATGGTCAAAGCTGTATGATAACACAGTTTGCGGGGCAAGGCATCTTGACACCTACTCAATTCAATGAATAAAAATTCAATTGTGCGCCATGACATCACTATAAGCGACCTAGGTTGACTCAAGTCTGTAATAGAAGTCCACTTTACGAAAGCCAGCTATTCACCTGCTCCAATCATCGTTGCTTTACTGTCGCCAAAGGCATCCATAATGGATAGATGGTAACATGATTCTATTATGAGAGAGGGCATTACCGTTGGGACGATAAGACATTGGTCCCTACAAAACTGGGGGATAATGGTAAAAAACTCCACTCACTATTCTCAGGAATAAGCAAGCCCAATTCGAGGTATTGTCTACTTATTCCTTTTGGAGTTCCTTGAGGATAGCATTATTTTCGGTTACACTCATTAATTAGCGTATTGAATAAGAGCCCAGTCAGCCTAGGCTGCCTAGAGTGAGTTAAGGACTGATAATTGAATTTTTTTCATAATAAGCAGAATAGGTGTTAGGATGCCATTGAGTTTCACTTAACCTTGCTTCATGAAAGGTATTCTCATTCAGGATGAATGGCGGTTTCGACATCGCCTCGGTCTCATAAATACATCAGCTGGATTTGATACCGGATAGTAATTATCGTCATAGGTCAGATGTGACATACAGCGCAAGCAAGGTCTCCTCCAATGCACATTTTATTTTGGGAAAGTCAATAAAAAAATATGTTTGTCCTTGCTATCAAGGAGGCTACTTAATGTTGGCTCAACCATGTTTTCGCAACTTGGTCGGAGCAACAGGGAGATATTATGGAGCGTACCTACTTATGCGTCATCTTCCAGAGTATTCATGCTTTCTAGCATTGGACCATTTACTTAGTACATTCCCACACGCTTGGGCGGCATCGCCAGTAAGAGGCGTCATCGTTAGCGCATAGTTATGCTTACTATTAGGGCATAGGTCTCCATGCTGCCCCGACCAAGTTGTGAAAACAAGGTTAAACCAACACTATTCAGCTGAATGAGACTGTGAGCAAGCAAAAGGCCACACCATTTCGGTCTTCATATCTACGATGCTACTTAATTTTTATGAGTAACTTTTGAGCTTTGGGTATTTTATGAGGCGGGGTAGAAACTGCATTTCATCCTGGATGATATAAGCTTTTGCGTTGCAAGGCTAAGTGTAATTCAATGGTTTCTTGGGACCTAATCAACTAAGTGAGAAAAAACTCAACTATCACTCTTTAAATTACCGTAAGCGATATATGACCGCTAAGATCTTAGGCATAATTTGTTGGTTATTCTCTGTGACTGCT